AATACCTTGGTATATGATTTATTTGTTTTTTATCTACCAATAACATCATTGTGCTGTATAATTTTTATTTCTATTCTTTAGGTGGAGTCCTTCATTTTTCTTGCGTACATGGGGTGGTATACTACCTGAACTTTCTGTTTTGGACTGAGTCAGCAAGAGACCACACTGATGGTCTACTGAGTTTTAAGCACTTTCCCAACTGTTTCATCTGTGATGTAGCTGGACAGGTTGCTCCCATACAAACAATTGCATGAAACAACTTTTTTTCCAACCACATGATGGAAGACTCTGTGCCCCGACCTCTGATAACCTGAAACTGGCAGCCAAGAAGGAATTAAAAGTAGACATGCAGTGGGTAAAGAACCTAAGGTCCCCATTCCCATCACAAGAAAATCCTGGTAACGACAGACTGGAAGCAAGACATCCAATCACTGGGACATGTGAAAGGTACTCCTTGTATGACAGATTCCACCAGAAAAACCAAAAACGCCCAGAAGAGAAGTTGCGAAGCCTCAACATCTGTCCCACCCTAAGAACAGAGGTGAACTCATCTGTTGCAGAGCAGTTCAATCGTGAACTTGCTTCTGTGAGGTACTCATTGTGCCAAATGAATGAGCCACATTTTAAGCAGACAGTAAGGGTGTTAATTGATCTTCACAATGAAAAGATTAACAGGAGTTTTAAGGCAGAAATGGAGGCCTTGTGCAACATGGAGTTGTCCATTGGCCTGCATGGGATGCTGGGACTGCAGTCTGCTGGTAAGTTTTGTTAGTACATGCTAAGATATTTAAGATATTAAAATTGACAATCATTTTGAAGTTGTAGAAATGTTAAAATAACACAGATAGTGCTGTAAACTACGACTTGCAACATGTTCTTTTTGCTGTGGCACAAACTGGTGAAGCAAACAAAGTAGCCCATTTTTTCTGAAATTCCTAATTCATTCTTGTCTGTTGTTTTATAGAGGGGAAGGTTGGAAATGTCAACATACAACCTGACAGCCTTGTGAAGTCTTCCTTCTTGGCACAATCGTATGATGTTGACAATAAGGACAAGGTAAGTAATAAATATCTGTGCCATTTTCCTTTACCCTTACATCTGTTTATTTAACAGTTATTAATTTCTCATTATGTTTGTATTCAGGAAAAACTCAAGCAGTTATTATGTGGATCTCGTGATGAAAATCAAGCCCTGACTCATTCCACAAGAAGATATCCTGTGTCAATTAAGGACATGCGCAGTGGCAGAGTCTTCACTGGCTATGCCATGGTTGACAGATGATGTAAGTGTAGATAGATAATTTAGTTTTGGAAGTAACATCTGAGATGAAGTGCAGTGTTTATCATGTACTTAAAAAAACAAATGGACTTGTATTTCAACTTATTTCTTCAATTCCAGGCTGTGAACTATCGCATAGCACAGCTGGCTCAAGAAAACATGGTAATATGTTTTGACTTTCTGACTTTCTGATTTTCTAATGCCTAAACTAAAAACTAATGCTACATTTTTTGTTGTAGTGTAGTTCTTTGGGTCACTTTGATTTTATTTTGTGGCACCGGGAACGGACAAACACTGGAGCTGTCAGAGACAACTTTGTGAAACACATCCCTGTAGGTCCTTTTTGTGACTTCTTTCCTAATACAATGTATTAACAAAACTGCAAAATCTGCTTTTCATATGGACTTTGTTGTACTGAGGTATTTTTTTGTGCTACAGGTCTCTGACAAAATCTTCCTGCCCAGGATTGTGGGTCATTCCTCTCCTGAGACAGGGAACCATTTTATTCTTTGCGTGAGCCACCGTAAATGCAAGGTTTTATTCTATGATTTGACATTTATAGAACTTCATATGTCTGTAAGACTTTCTGTACAGAAGTGATCTTGTGCAGCAGCCTACATTAAGAGATGCTGAAACATACATAGATCATGACCTATACTTATTTAAACATTTGTGTTATAACTTTGTCATATATGTTGGAAGGTTGTATAAACTGATGTGTTTCCTTGTAGGTGTTTGACTTTAGAGCCAAAGACATTCGGGTCTACGATTCACTTGGGTTTTATTCAAACATAAGTGACAATGACATGGACCTCCTCAGGTAAAGGGAGAGTAACATAAAATACACATTTTTCAGGTATTGGAAAGGTAATGTGACAATATGCAAAAAAACTATTGCTGCTTTTTTGGTAGAAATGTCTTCAGATTCTCTGGCGGTCTTCAAGGATGTGGATTTGACATATCCTCCACAGTGGAAGCAGCAGCACTCGGTTAATTGTGGAGTTTTCGTGTGTTCTGTGAGTTGCCTGTTCTGTGTGCTGCTTGTCTTCCTGTCCAGTGCAAGTGACATCTGTGGGTTCATCAAAGTAAATAGTTTTGCTCTCAACTAGGCAGCTGAAAATGAAGTGCAACATGTTGCGGTCAGTACAGAGGCTCTGACTCTCAACCAGTGCAGGACTCTGCGGCTGCATCATGCTACCCAAATGATCAAAAATGTCAATGCTGAGGTAGGAGTAATTGATGTTTTATTATGTGACAATATACAGTATACTGTTAAAAAGAAAAGGGCTCTGGTTAGAGCAAAGTTTTTTGTTACACAGGACTTCCCACTTACTGCAGAAGACAGATTAAAAATGGAAGAAAAGGAAAGTAAATTACAGGAATCGGAAGCCAAAAAAACAGACTCCAGCAGCCATTGCCAGGCTTGGAAAACAAAGTCGTGTTTGTTCCAGCAAGCAACAGGGACAACCAAGTATGTACAACACAAATGACAACTCAAAACTTCACACACAACATAGTTGACAAGGTCCTTTATATTTCAGCCATTACTGAATATATGGAAATACCTATGTTAAGATACTGTGGAATATTGGTGAAGTTCTGTTTTTTCACTGTTTTCTACCAGTGTTTTCCATAACCACATTAAGCAATACCAATGGGTACAATGCTCATCTTGCAAAAACTGGCTGCATTTCGAGTGTGCTGGTGTAGAAAGAGACTGGACGTCAAAGGATTTCTTTTGCGGATGCAACAACATCCCAGACATGTAAGAATAACCTCATGCACGTCAGACCAATGGTTGCCATTGAAACCAAATTATTAACTCCTATAGTTGTTTTTGATAAATATAGTTTGTCTTTTTTTACATTTAATATGACAGACAAATATTAAAAATGTATGAAATTAATGAACAACTACATAAGTAAACATAAATAAATGTATGGCATTATTAATAATTACAAAGATATAGTAAGACAAAAAATTATTCTTAGCCTTTACCTACATATCTACCTACATATCAGCTGCCAGTTTGCTAGTTACGTGTCCATTAAATCTAGTGTAACATTTTATCTATTTGCTAATCTAAGGTCAATTTTTCGAAATGAAAAGATGTAAAAACACTGAGCCAATTTCTGCAATGCTTTTGTCTTAAACAGAGATGACATCCTGGAGGCTGTTAAAGCAGAAGACATTCTGACAGATAAAGAGATTACGGTAAAAACATACATTGCTCTCAAGTGACATGTACAAGGTTTTTACTATGAGGTGGCATTCACAACTTTAACAAGGCTGGTAAAAACTGAATCAACGTCTAAAAATACTTTTATATTATACAATTATAGGATCTGGAGAAAAACCTGCAAAGTGGACATGTTCTGTCCAACAGAATGTATCTGTGCAAACACAGAGAATTTGATCCTGCCCTAAGAAAACATTACAGCGAACATGTCACTTTATTTAATGACATGAAGGTATGTAGACTTGTCTCTTTTGGTCTTATTTGTGGACACAACTCCTGGTCTTCAATCGCAATCACAATAGTATGTCACTGAAAAATATATTGAAGTCACGAATGTTTAGACATATATTCCAAATCCCAATGCACATTTTTACCATATTAACTAATTGTATTTGAAAGCCCAAATTTAGACAGCCTATAATAAACGTATATAAGGACATCATGACAAAGACAGCTATAGTAACAGAGCACATGAACTATTTTGATTTTGAAACTAATATCCGGTCATTTTTTGGGAGGAAAC